GCAGTCCCTTACCTTACTAAGGCTTGGGCTGGGAGGGGCCAAGCCTGGAATGGCTTGGGATGGGGTAGGGTGGATCCTCACTTAATGACTGCAAGAGGAAGTGCAGGGATTATGACCACATTGCTTAGCGATGGAAATTCCGGTCCCAATTGTGGTCATAAGTGGAGTACTACCTGTATAGAGCTTGAAAAAGTATGATAAAGGGGCTGCAGCAGTTGCCCTGTGAAGAGAAGCTATAGCAACTGGGGCTGCTTAGCTTGGAAAAATGAAGTCAAGGGGAAACATGACAGAGGTATATAAAATCATGAATGGCAGTGATAATATGGAGAAATAAGGCTTTTGCCCCTTCCTTACAATGTTAGTATCTGAGACCAGTAATTGAAACCAAACACAGGAAGATTCCTGGCCAACAGAAGGAACTCTGTTTCATACAGTCCATAGTATTCACTGCTGAGGTGGATGGTTTTCAAAGGGGATTGGACAGGTTCACAGAGAATCAGTCGATCAATGGCTATAACTTCTGTTTATAGGCAGTATGTCTTAAATACTAGTTTCTAGAAAACAAGAGAGAAAGAGGGCTATCAACTCTTCAGTCCCAGATTGTCCGCTTCCTGAATATATCCAGCCAGTCACTGTGAAACACAAAATGCTGGATTAAATGGGCCTGAGGCCTGAACCAGCACAACTGTTCTTATGTTCCTACCTTGCTGGGCTTCAACATAAATAAAAAAGGTAACTATTTGCACCACTTTAATGCCAGTTAAATGTCAAACATTGCCCTCTGGTGCTTAAACCAGAATTCTGACTGAAATCCTAAAACATGTTAGAAAAAATAAGCCACATTAAATGAATGGGATTGGAATATTTCTATAATAAAAAAGTTTTTTGGCTAGGGATTTTTTTTTTGTCCAACTTTTGGTATTGCTTTGTTCATTACCTGGAGGGAGAAATTCTTAAAATGGCATAGTGGAAATAAGCTGACTGCCAAACATACTGCAGAAAAAAATATGGGGGTAAGGTTTTGGTTTTCAAACAATATTAAATCGATCTTGGGGTTTGCGTTATAACTTTTCTGCATTTCATGCTTCAAAATGGGGAAAACTTTGTCATCAATTTTCAGCAAGAAGGGTCAGAAGGGCTGCAAAGACAGAGTCAAGACTGTCTAAATCTGGTCTAGAACAGCCTATAATTATTTACTTAAAACTTTCCAAACTGCTCCTAATTGCAAAATAAGAATTTGTGTAAACTTTGGATAGGGTGGCAGAGGAAAAATACAGGTGAAACTCGAAAAATTAGAATATTGTGCAAATGTTCATTTATGTCAGTAAG